CTCGCTGTGCAGCAAAGATAATGACTAAACGATTATAAAAACGAATGGAACTGAGGAATAAATACATATATTAAATGTTAGAAAAAGGGCTACAATTAAATTATGTATCTTAAAAGTCAAAACATCATAGAATTAAGATGTCAACTTCTAATAAAGGGAACAAAATACTCTCCATGAATATATATTGAATAGGAAAATAAAGCTAATACTTTACTCAAACCAAAAAACAATTATTGTAGTTGTCGGGGAATGTGTCAGACGAGACGTCAATAAAAATAATCAGTGATTGTTTGTTAGTTTAATATTCACGTTATTGATAATCACAGGAATGGCGTAGTCCCTATGTGTATCGTTCTTATCAAAAAGGCGAGGGTATCCCCCACTTCTAAACAAATTCTCCCGAAATCAAAAGTTCATATGTGAGGCGCTGTCCATAGGTATACATATTCAAGTTGTTATTTATTGTCATAATTGTGGGTTGTTGTTTACTTTTCTCTATTTTCGCTGATTTTGCTTTTGCACAACGATTCCCCGAGCTCTCTAAACTAAAGCTAAACGTTATGTGGTAGGTCCGATTCCAATTCCGATTTTGAATTGGATTTGCTTTGTATTTCGCCTCTGTACTCATTGTATTTTTACTTCTATGCATAATGGTATGGGGTATTTTTCTGCCGCAACGAGTTTTACTTTTGTTTTTGTTTGAGAGGGAAGCTTGGTGCTCAGCTCAGCTGAGTTGAATTCATTTTTTTCACGCTGAGTGCGCAAAAAACGAGTTTTGCACTTTTGTAGCGAAAATGAAAAACGCCAGAGTGTGAGTGATTGTAAGCTAAGCTTTTTGTTTATCTGCACTACAGTCGCTACAGTGTCTGTCTCTGTTTTTGAGTTGTCTCTGTGTTTGTTTTAATTTTCGTTGTATCCACTTGTGCCAAGCACGAAGCGAAACCGAAACCGCCGAGATGCGAGTCTCGAGATGCGAGATTCGAGATCTCAGATCGCTGGACCCATACCCGTACCCATACCCAAGCCCATCTCATCCGGCGGAGACGGAGACACAGTCTCATATGAGGGTGTCGTAAAGAAGGGGGTCAGCCCGAGCTCAGCATAAGTAAACCTGTGCTAACCTTCCCCGAAATAGTCCATAAAGTCTCAAACAATTCACAGCCTATTAGCTTAAATGCATCCTTGAAATCGCCGCCTTTTAAGTTCCCATTACAGTCGAAGCTAGTGAGTTATTTGCTGGCCTTTTGTAAAGACAACAGATATGTCTAAGCTTGAAAGTTAACTTATTGGTTGTCAACTAAACATTTGAGTCTATTTACTCTTCAAAGTATGATTCCATTGATCTAACTAGTGCTATCATTTCATCATCTTTTCTTTTTATTCAATGTATGTGTTATTACTATAAAAAATAGAATGGTTTTTCGGGGGATTCAGGGTTTAGCAAATACAGTTTGCCATAAAATTCTGAAAACAAAAAACGAAATTCGGGAATAGTTCGTAGGTGCTTATTTATAAATGATTTTTCAATACTCATCCACAACATTTATTTGAAATCTAAAGTAACATATATTTTGTTATATTTTATAGTGTCATCTATTGAATAAAATTAAGCTTAGAGGATTAGGAATGATACTTGCCTTCAAAAAAGACCTGTTAATATGCAAAGATGGAAAAAGGGAGAAATGACATCCCCATTCCCCCTTGCCCTTTGCCCTTTGAACTGCCATGACCCGTGAGGTGTGACACAGTTTTCCGATTCCAGTTGTGAGATTCAGCGCTGCTTTGTTGACTTCCAATTAGCATGGCCCTCTGCCATTCTCGTTCTTTCAGCATGCAGATGTGGCTGGAGGAGAGTTCCTCTGGTGGCGTCGATGAGTAGTGTGTACCGATAGAGCACTCGAATGCCGGGTTCGGTTCGTATAACAATTAGCATCGCAATGCTAATATTGAACACAACGCAAAGGGGCTTTGAGTTTGCTCTCAGAAACTGACAACTGAGACCTAGATAAACGATTTCGTGCATCCTGTTTAAACAGTTTGCTGTCGCGGAATCAGAGCTCGAAATTCCAGACCATTCTTTGAGCAGTAAACAAGTCTAGTGCTTGGAAACCTTGTGTAGAACACTTAAAAACCCTTAGTATCCTATGATATCCTATCTTTAAAGTATGGTGTTTCCTGTTCAACCTAATGAATTGAGACATTTATTTCTCGTGGGAGCCATTCTCCCTCATCAGCAGTCAAATCTGTTTGGCAGCTGAACGAAAGCATATATTGGCAGTAATATATTTTTCCAGCTGGCGCATTCTAAGTGATTTATTTCCCAGAACCGCATTTAAAGGGGGTGGGACAGCAATAGCACCTCCCGCTTCCCACTTCTCTCGCTTATTTGGTTTTTTTCGCATTAACAAAACCTTTAGCTGCATGGAAATTTGTAGTCATTACTGCTGTGATTGTCAATTACCCCCTCCCATTTTTTGCCCTCTTCAAATGCACACCATAAACGGTGGGCGTGGCCGAGTGAGTGCCTCTAATGCCGCCACTGTTTCCACATTTTGTGTGGAGGCAACTTTCACTTTCTCCGCCGTGGCTGGATTTCAAAAATAGCCACTGCCACATGGCGCATGATTCTGCCTTGGTCTTTGTTTTTGCCACTTGCAGCTGCCACTGCCACTGCAGCCACATCCCCGTCCACAACCACCTCCTCCTCCGCCTCCTCCAACCCCCTAACGAACTGCCTGTGCGTGCTCTTGTGGATGTGGCCACTCGGAAAACTGGGCACCACTTGAGTGGTGTTTGCCACACACAAAAAAACATCACGTACTACTTATTGCTCTCGCCTTAATCCGGCAAATGCCAAGTAGATATTTTAATAGGATTAAAACGGACTAAATTATGCAGGCAAATCTGTATTTAACAGCGATATTCGTTCACTGGTTTAGTGTTCCACAGCTACTTGCTTTTCCTGTGGCCTGCACTTCTTAGCTTTGTATTTCAAAAGGATTAAAGCGGCTTTAGACAGTCAGAAAGAGCAAAGATTGAGTTCATTTTTTGAGGATTATATATTTCAAGACTACTGGTTTATTCATTGAAACCTTTTCTGTTTAAGTCGGGAGGTTTGAGTGATTTCAAGCATAGCGTAATCATTTTAAGTACTTTTTATGTGGTCACCATAGTTTGTATTACGAATTTTGGTTTTACAGATTTAAGATAGTGACTAATGGTAATTTCAATTGTGCTGTGATAAGATATTGCGCTGTCAAGTTAATGATGATGATCAATTTAATGGTTTTACAAACCACTTTGTACCAGATATTGGAATGTATAATTAATACATTGTTCAATCCAAGGCTGTAATGTGTAACTTTGAAGTGGACTCAAACTTAGTTGCAGATTATCTCGTTTTTTTGCCTGTGTACCGATGGCCTTTCTGTTTTGAGATGGCTTACAAGCCGTGTAAGGTCAGACAACCTCCTGTTGATTTCCGCAGCGGAGTCGCAGCTTCACAGATCATTTAGCCGCCGGCGGAAGTCGTCCTCAGCTGCTCAGCTCTGCTCCGTTGGTCACGGGTCAGCCGTTGTGGGAGGAGGAGCCCCTCTAATCCAGTCCCCGCCACTCCACTTCTTTTCAATTCACTTCGATCCACTCCACTGAGAGTCCCACTTAAGTGAGAGTTGATTGTTTTCTGGTGAGACGACACACAAAGACTTCCGCTTTTCCTCCTCCGCTATTTTCTCAACCGTGGGCATCCATTTTCCGTCCTCAAATTGAGTCACAATTGCATAAGAAACACGGGAAGGGTCGAGATGAGATGACAAAGGACGTCCCTGGCCTCAGATGGCTGTAATGTCATTAGCCAGCAATCAGCAGCTTCTAGAATTTTCGCTGCATGTGCCACATCAGTCTGCCGGTTTTGATACCCTTTATGGGGAGAGGGTATACCAGTTTTGTTTACCTAAAGATCTAATCAAATCATTTTAAATAATTCGCGAATTCTTTAGGAGTTAATAAGGATTAAACCATAACCATTTTGCTAATCCTCTTGTTCTGAAGAATTCGATTTTATAGTTTGTTATTCTCAACAAATCCTTATCTCTAAAGAATTCACGCTTTGCTTTTCATAATATGCTTCGAAAGTAAGTTACCTGCCGAAGAGTGCAGGGTATCTCCTGTTCTCTAGACCGGTACCTCTGGTTCTATCTCTTCCATGCGGCAACCAGTTAACCAGCTAGCAACAACCTACAACCAACTGGAGCCAGCGAAGCGTTCATGTGAAACGTCCAGTTTCCACTTCCCCCTGCAATGCATATTTGGCCCTCTTCTGCCACTTTTGCCACTTTTGGTGTTGTTTTTCAGCCTTTTGCCGTTGCTGTTGCCATGTTGTGGCCAAGTTGTTGTTGCTGTTGTGCCCGTGTGTACTCGTTTCGTTCGGGAAATTCGTGAAAAACCGAAATTAGCCATCGTTGTGGGGTAAAATTTGCTGGAAAACTCTCCACCAAGGCAGACCAGAGCGCCTCTTCGGTTTGTTTATGGGTTTCATTTTTCATGCCGTTCTGGGCACTCCAAAGTGCTCCAATTGCTTTCGGCCCCAAGGCCAGCGCAATTAATTTGCGCAATTAACTGAAATTGAACGCCCATTTGACGGGTCATTCTGGTGGGTACAAGTGGGTCAAGCAACCACCACCATCTTCGCCACCTGACCACAAATGGGCGACCGAGTGGGTAAATCTTGAGCAATTTCCAAAATAGAGAAGAATTACTTTGTGGAATTAAGCAGCTGGGCGGTAGCTTAAATAAAGGGGCAGTCTTTATTTACAATTACACCATTTAAGATTGTAGTTTCCAATTTACCTTACAAAGTAATGGTTATTGTAATAACTTATCAAAGAGTAACTTTTCTGGATGCTTTTCTTCATGTTCTTATCTTACCTACCAAGACAGTATGATAAATATGTCCACAAAAATGTCTTCTCTATAATAATCTATTATATCTTCCATTGCAGACGCGGTCTTACGCCTCCACATCGGGTGAAATCCATATCGATGGCCACATTCACACAGGACGAGATCGACTTCCTGCGCGCCCACGGCAACGAGCTGTGTGCCAAGACCTGGCTGGGATTGTGGGATCCCAAGCGGGCTGTCCACCAGCAGGAGCAGCGTGAGCTGATGATGGACAAGTACGAGCGGAAGAGGTACTACCTGGAGCCGGCCAGTCCTCTGAAGTCCCTGGCCAATGCGGTCAACCTGAAGTCATCCGTGCCGGTAACGAATCACATTCAGAATGGCCACCACAATGGCTATGCCAGCATCCATCTGACGCCTCCGGCTGCCCAGAGGACCTCGGCCAATGGATTGCAGAAAATGGGCAACTCATCCAGCAACAGCTCCTCGGGAAACTCCTCCTCCTCGATCAGCCGGCCACACCATCATCATCATCATCACAACAACAGCCAAAACAACAATCACGATGCCTTTGGTCTGACTGGAGGATTGAGCAGCCTCAACAGCGCCGGTTCCACATCCACCGGAGCTCTCTCGGACACCAGCAGTTGTGCCAGCAACGGCTTCGGTGCGGACTCCGACTTCGTGGCCGACTTTGGCTCGGCCAACATCTTCGATGCCACATCAGCGCGCTCGACAGGATCGCCGGCGGTGTCCTCCGTCTCCTCGGTGGGCTCCAGCAATGGCTACGCCAAGGTGCAGCCCCTCCGGGCAGCCCATCTCCAGCAGCAGCAACAGCAACTGCAGCAGCAGCTCGTCAATGGAAACGGAAATGGCCACCAGGGTGCTGAGAACTTTGCAGACTTTGATCATGCACCCATCTTCAATGCAGTGGGTAAGTGTCCATCTCGAAACCAGGATTTCCTCACCATTCAATGGGTTTTCTGATCCTTTGTTGAATCGATCTTCAGTTCATAAAGCTCTTTTTAAGAAAAAGCATTAGTTTAATTTAAATGTGACTCATTTATAGTATTCATATTGTAAAGATTTATATGGGAAAGATGCTAGATTTCAGTATACTAATTGATTTAATTTTGGAATATTGATTTTGTTTGTTTTTAATTAATTATTCAGCGAGTATTTTTCATAAATATATCACATCGTAACGCATCAACATATAGGTTTATTTCATATAATTTTCTTAGAAACCAATATCCATTGGTTTGTAAATAAGAGGCTGGTTCAAAAAGACATCCCTTTGCTCCTGCACCCGCGGCTTGAATTATCAGCAATGCAAACTAGCTTTGGCTTCCCGAAAGATCCTGCAGCTTCGCTCGCCTTCCTCTTCGAGCACCCCACACAAAGAACTCGGCATTCGTATCCACTCTCTAATAACTCACTGTTTGGCTGAATCCAGCTCCACCAACTTTCCACGATTGGATCAGCGACTGGAGCAGGCGGGGCTTCCACGATCCCTTCGACGACTGCGATGAGTCGCCACCAGGTTCAGCTCCTCCGGTTCCAGTGCCTGCTCAAGCTCCCGCTGTATCATCACCACTGCCAACCGTCCAAGAGGAACCAGAAGAGCTGGCGTGGAACTTCTGGCAGGAGGAGATGCGAATAGAGGAGCAGGATGAGGAGTCCCAACCATCCCAACAGCAGGAGCTGAGCTACTCCTTTTTCAATAGCACTCCGCCCCTTTCCCCCTCGAATCCCTTCCTGCCCTACTTAAGCAATGAGGAGCAGCATCCGCATCCTCCAGAGAAGCCCTCCTATTCGTATTTGTTGTTCAGCTCCATATCAAACAGTTCCCCAGAAGAGCCTCAGGTGGAAGATCATGAGATGAATATTTTAAATGCCAATTTCCATGATTTCTTTACGTGGAGTAAGTTCTCTATTGCCTTGAGTTGAGTTGAGTTTTCTGTTATGGTTTCTTTGCATTTGGCTCGCTCTTTTTATTGATGCTGTGTTCAGTTTGTGTTTGGTTTTTACTAAAGAAATGTAGTCCTAACAAGATTATTAACTGGTCTTCTTGTTTTACAGGTGCGCCCTTGCAGAATGGCCATGCGACAAGTCCGCCCAAAGGCGGAAGTGCAGCGATGGCGCCCAGTGAGGATCGATATGCTGCTCTCAAGGATCTCGACGAGCAGCTTAGGGAACTGAAGGCCAGCGAATCTGCCACGGAGGCACCCACGCCCACTAATGGCAACGGCCAGGCCACAGATGCCTTTGGTGGTGAGTCCCCCTCACAGAGTCCTTCCCTTTTTGTGAGCCTCGCTAATTGGGCTCTTGTCTTTTCAGCCCTCAACAACAATCCAAATCCCTTCAAGGGCCAGCAGCAGCTCAGCAGCCATGTGGTGAATCCATTCCAGCAGCAACAGCAGCAGCAGCAGCAGCAGAATCTCTATGGCCAGTTGACGCTCATACCAAATGCCTACGGCAGCAGTCCCCAGCAGCAGATGGGCCACCATCTCCTCCAGCAGCAGCAGCACCAGCAACAGAGCTTCTTCAACTTCAACAACAACGGGTTCGCCGTCTCACAGGGCCTGCCCAACGGCTGCGGCTTTGGCAGCATGCAACCCGCTCCGGTGATGGCCAACAATCCGTTTGCAGTGAGTATGACGACCGACTGTGTGGATTAGTTCGATAAAAGCACAAGTGGCGGCAGGGAAACACTTTTTTTTAACGAAATCAACTAGTTTTGTGTGGGTGTATCGTAAAAGTTTAAAGATTATGATAAAGAATTCGCGGTAAAATGTTTTCTTTTGAATATAATATTTTATACGTTCTCTTTTTAAAAATTAATTAGATATCTTTTATGGTGCTAAACAATTTGGTTTACAATTTGTTCCTCTTTAAAAGTTTAAATGCTTACAAAGTGAAGTTGAGATCTTATACAAAATATAGAAGATACATATAACTTACCAATTTCTCTAATTAGCAATTGTGAACGTGATTCAACCCATAGTGATAAACAATATCCCAGAGCTGCGTAATTCTCTTTAATAAATATTAATCAAGCAAACAAGCAATCATTTGCACGTTTGTCTGATTCTCACGTTCCCTAGCCACATTAAATCCAGACAGTAGACAGTAGACGGTAGTCGTTGGATTACCAGCCAGGACTGGTTGGGTGCGGATCGATGTTTGCTAAAGACTCCCTTTCTTGATTTTCATCCACAGGCCAGCGGCGCCATGAACACCAACAATCCATTCTTATGAGACTCGAGCCGGGAGAATTCGCCACTCGCCACTTGGCAGAGGCGCTGAGCCACCAGCCACCAGCGAACAAAGAGCAGAAGCATCAGCAGCAGCAGAAGCGGAGGAGCCGAACCGAAATTAGTCCATTTTACGAACAATAGCGTTAATCTATATATACATAATACACGCCGGAGCACAGTCTCTGTGTACATAGCTCAAATATGTACACCCCGAAGGGCTCCACCACGCTGACGCTAATCCTGGAGAGAGGCGGCGCACAGCGGCAGCGGGCTGGGGCGTTGATATATTCTTTTACATGGTAACTCTACTCTAACGTTTACGGATACGGATGTTTGTATTTGCCGTTTGCCCTAGAACTCTCTACTTGTACTAAGCGCGCCCATCATCCACTTACTAACATAGCTACTAATCCCAATCCTAGTGCAGGATGCAGTTGGCCCAGATTCTGTTATTTGCTTTGTCTGTCCTCGTAAATGTCTTTGTCCCATTTAGCACTTTCGTTGCGGATAAGAACTCTGTCAGTTATTGATTGTGTGGCCTTAATAAGATTATAAACTATATATTATAACGTACTACTATACATACGGATACAGATTACAGATACAGATACAGATATATACAACTATGCTTTTGTACCTAATGAATTGTGTAATTGCTTCTTGTTTTCATTGCTAATCGTCTGCTTTCCGTGTGCTAAGTTTATATATTAGTACGTGCGATATCGGCCGTGCAGATAGATTGCTCAACTCGCGAGTCGAACCTCGTTTGGTTGCACCCACACCGCACACCCTACACCCCACACCCACGGCAGACATTTGTACATATACTGTCTGATTGTAAGTCCCGTGTAATACCTCCATTGACACCAGTCCCTAGGCCCCACCCATCCATCCATCGAACCCCGAATCCATGACTCAATTCACTGCTCACGTGTCCATGTCCAGATAAGAAGCAAGAATTTTTCCATTTTTAGCCTTAACGTGTCAAACATTATCGAAGCCTTAAAGTTATTTAAACTACGAAAATTTCAATAAAAACAAATAAGATCGCTATCACTGTTTTCTTTTTATTCCTGCTGTAGTTTTTCCCTCAGTTTCTGAGTTTTCGTTGTCGAAAAAAACAGAATATTTCAAAATAATGATTGAATTACTGGCATACTTTTGGGATAGAGTTAAGTAACTGAAATAACAAGTAGCCGGCTTACTAAGTTTTGGCAGGTCTGTCAGTAAAATATCGATCAGATGTTTTAAATAAATCTTTGAGATGTAAGATTACCCCTTTTTAAAATAAGGCGATCCTAAGACTCTAAATGGATTCCAAAAAGTATGCTATGTAATTTAAAATCCGAATGGGTAAGTAATAAATCCAAGCGCTCTATGTTTTATTTGAATGTATTTTTATTCATTTCCGTTTCGGTATAATTTCTAGTTTGTTCTCTTCGTCTTTAGTACTAGTTGGTTTAGCAATTGTTTAAATTACTATAAATTATTTAAGTTTTATGTTACGTACTCGTATAATATAGATTTATAATTTAAAAATTCGCGTATGAAAGAAAAGTCGAAAGTCATTTAACTGGCAGCCACTCCTTCCTATCGTTTCGTTTCGTTCCTTCGCTAATTACTTTCCTAGAGCTAAATAAAAACAAAATAATAATCATAAGGTAATAATAAATCGTAAACGTAGAAAAACAAATAATAGCAATAATTCAAAACAAAAGTTAAAGCTGGAATCGCTGCGTTCTACTATCGTAATCGTAATCGTAAATAAGAGTACACGTATATCTAGAGATGAAAGAGTGCCTAGGTTAGCATTGCATCAACTGTACAGTATGGCTTATACGCGTATAAGTCGCCGCCCCGTTCCCTCCTTCGCCACGCCAGCAAACGATTAGATTATGTGTATAATTATGCGCGGGGCAGGACTCCGCCCGGAGATATCAATTGTATTTGTTTTGCGTTCTGCGTGGTTATATCGTAGTCGATAATTTAATGGATAAATAACAAAAATGACTGTAGGAGCGTATTCCTCACTCTGGCTGTGTGGGTTGAGTGTCCTGGATCCAGGATCAGGATGCCTCACCTATGTATGTACATACACGAAATCGATATCTTGCGGATTGGTTACGATCGTACACAGTATGCTTACGGTTAGCGCGTGGATAATAGACATCGTATCATATCAAATATCATATATCATATCTCATATTACATGTTCGAGTGTTCTGATTCTGATTCTGATTAAAAGCGGACTCTTACTCTCCTCTCTGTGTACATAAGTTTGCTACAACTTTGCTTTAGAATATAGTATAATATGTGCACATGTATGGTATGTAAATATGTAAATGTATTGCATGTTGACATCTAGAATTGCTCAAATCGAATCGAATGCGATGATGAGTTCTTTAGTTTATCGTTTACTGTTCCTCGTTAACATAGCCAATGCGATAATTAAGCGGTAATTTAGTTAATTCAATGATATAAAAGTACAAAAAGGTCCTCTTTCCGCGGCTATATGTACGGGTCGCGTCGAACCAACCGATCTATATACACACGCTGGTCTGATCTGATCTAATCCAAAACTGAGTCCATAATTGAAGATCCCAACCGAACCGAACGGAAACGAACGGAACCGAACTACATTGAACTACACGTCGCGCTGAGCTGAGCTGCCTACAAGTTAGCCTTGGTATATCTTTGTGTTGCATATGTGTGTTGCTTGAATACGGGTAATATGGGTGCTGAGATTCCGCCGCCCTGGTCCTGGACCCTGCTTACGTCCCATTGGCCTTCGGCAGCGACCGCACCAGATACAGCTTCTCGCCCTGCTTGTTTGTGTAGATGGGCGCTCTTTGGTAGTGGTCGACCAGTTGGTCCAGCGAGTGGAACTTCCGCTGCCCGATGCAGTACATGTTCTGCTCCACGTGCACGCGGAAGTGCTTGTTGCGCCCGGGGGCCTTCAACGAAACCGAGTAGTCGCCCATCTGCAAGGAATGGATATATGTTAATATATTTCGTTTTAATAGTCCGCTGGAAATGAAACTGCCACAACATATCTATAGACTTTCGCTTTTCTTGATTTATGCCCTATTTTTGGCTCTACCTATGTCACAAAAAGAACCGCGTGAGTGCCACATAAATATGTTATAGTAGCAGCGCACATTAGTTTTTACTTCTTTTAAGATTTATATGGCAATTCAAATAACAAATGCTTGAAATAAAAGTTGCGAAAGGGAAAGCTCTAGTTATGTTGTGACAGCCCAATCGTGGATTTCACTCACGTTAGTCTCACTGTCTCTGATGAGGAAGTCGCCATCGTGCCCATGGCCATTGAGCACCGTGTCGCATTGGCTCCGGGTGATGGCCCCATAATACCACGACTTGCCCGCCAGATTGGGCCGCTCAATAGGCTGGCCGGAGGACTGCGCCGCCGGCTTATTGCCCTCGTTGCGTCGCTCCATGGAGTCGTTTCCGCCTCCACCTGCGCCGCCTGCTCCGCCATTGCTGCCTCCTCCATTTCCGTTGCCGGCGCTGGCACTCGTGTTGCGATAGGGCGTGGCCAGGTAGTCGTTCAACTCTTGGAGATAATTGCGTGGAACTAAACCGACTTGGCCCTGATTGTTGCGAGCTTTGTACCAGTCCGGATCGGAGGCGGGCCGATCCACGATCTCCAGCCGATCGCCCTTCTCGAAGGACAGCTCCTGGTCGTTGTTCGACGTGAAGCTGTACAAAGCGACCTATGTTGGTGGGGAAACAATATTAATAGCTGTAGAATCTGGAGCTAGTCATCCTCCCATACTCACCACAATATCGAGCACGTTCTCTGCCATGGCGTAGGTGTGGATCTCGCCGTCGTTATCACAATCCTCCGTTGTGTAGTTGCTGGGGAACCAGCCGACGGAGTTGCCGCTCTGCCCACGCCACCAGCCGTCGTTGGACTTCTCCAGGATGAGGATCCGCGTGCCCTTGGTCAGCGACAGCTCATCGGGCTGCTGGGCCTGGTAGTTGTACTTGACCACGGCCGTGCCGATGGCCTCGGCGGGATCGGGGGGCAGTCGGCGCGACATGGTTGGACTCTCGATCTGTCGCGAGGGCGAGCAATTGGGCAGCGTCTTCGATCCGGAGCCCTTTTTCACCTTCTTCTTAATGCTGCACGGGGATCAGAGATCAAAGATATTGGTTGTCAGAAATAGGCCGGCTTAGGAAGATGCTTTAAACTTGGTTAGATTTCTCTGGGGGATTCTGAGGTGGGTTAGACTAGACCTAGTTTGTTTTGGGGGGTGTTAGTCGGGCTATAAGTTTTCAGGGGCAGGGGCTCGACAGACAACGAAATCAAAACGAATTTGTTTGTTTCGAAATACAAAATACAAAAGCCGAAAGCAGTTCAAAGTTAAATTACGATAACCAAAGCAAAAGGAGGAGGCGGGGATTCGAACGCGGTACGGATACATCTACGGATACGGCTACAGATACAGATACAGTTTCAGATACAGATATAGAGGGCTTAATTCTGCTGAAATCAGAGCAAGAAGAACGCTTAGGTTTAGTCGGGCCAGGAAGCTGACGCACCTGTCGAAGAGCGAGGGCTTCTCCTTCTTCACATAGTTGCTGGGCACGTAGCCGGACTGATTGCGGCTGTTCTGGACGCGCCACCAGTGCTTCGAGTCGTCCAGCAGCAGATAGCGCTCGTTCTTGCGCAGATCCAGCTCCTGGGCACCCTGCGCCGCATAGTCGTACTTGGCTACCACGTAGCAGACGTCTTCCTGAGATTTGCCTGGGGGTGTGAAAAGTTTAATTTGTTAGTTTGGTTCGATAGTTTTTGGGAGGGTACAAAGTACACACAGCAAGAAAAGCACAATGGCCTAGAATCATAGGAATATAAACCTCTAGTCGGATAAGTAGTCAACATAAATGGAACGCGAATTCTTCAGATTCTAGATCGGTTTTTAACGGTTTGATTTTAAGAATAGTACACAGTTCGCACACTTAGAAAAGTAACGTTTCCTAGAATCACAGGAATTTAAATATTTTCTAATCTTAATCCCACAAAAAAAATAACGCGAATTCTTTAGAATAGTTAATTGTTTTGTAAAAAATAATAGAAACGCGAATTCTATAACATAAACTGGTTGTAAACGGTGCAGCGATCAAGTCTGTCTGCCCCTGCCTTTTGGAATAATGAAGTCCTACGATCCTAGTTTTAAATGCTCTTCCCGCTGCCAAGCTATCTTGGTGCAGTTGCTCACCGTGCTTCATGTTGCCCGCCATTGGTTGGGTTCCAGCGTTGCCGGCGGCACTGCCACTGGAGGAGTTGCCGCTACCGCTTCCGTTGGCGCTTCCGCTGCCGTTGCCGCCGCAGTCGAGCGCTGGCTGGCCGAAGGTCACACTTTTGTGCTGGGCGCTGCAGGAGGAGGCGGTGGACAGGGTGCGGTGGTGGTGCAGCTGCTGTTGCTGGGAGAGCGACGAGTGGCGCTGGTGGTGGGCAGGCGAGCCGGGCACGGGCACGGGCACCTGGGGACGGTACTGGTATATCTGATTCTGGTTCTGGTTGAGATTCAGATTCTGGTGCTGCGGCAGCTGGGGCGGATGCTGGTGCTGCTGCTGCTGCGGATACTGCTGCGAACTGGCTGAGGAGTCGGGGATGTTGCGCACGAACCGCTGGGGGTGTTCCAACATTCCAGACTGGCTGCTCCTCCGCCGCGGGGGGATTCCTGCTCCTCCAGCTGGGACTGCCCTGGTGGCCCTGGTGCTCCTGGCGCTGCTCCTGGAGGCAAGAGGCGTTGGGGTGGCTCAGTGTTGGTGGACTTGGTTTGGAGTTGAAGTTCAAGTTGATGAGGAGGTTGATGGTTGTTTGGTTATGTGTTGCTGCAGTTGCTCGCTGGCACTCTAAGCTGGCTGCAAATCGCCCCTAGCCAATGCATAATTGCTAGGGGGCGTGGTTTTTTCAGGGGGCGGAGGCATGGGCGTGAGCGTGGGCGGAAGCGTAGGCGTGGCAAACGTAAGCATAAGCAACGCAATAACGCAAAATGAATGAAAGAAAGATGGAAAGAAAGAAAAAT